TAGTATTTTTCTAATTTAAAAAAATGAATTGTATCTCCTCTGTCCATGGAGTCTGTTCAGTGCCAGAGTTGAAGCCAAAGACAGCTCCCCTGCAGAACCCGCGCTCTTAAGTGGTGCTCTTCCTGAGAAACTTTGTGCACTTGAAGCAGCTGGACAACGCTTCTCATTAACACCTATATAGATATAAGTTGTCCCGTCACTTCACCATGGAGGTAAGGATGTAGCTCTGGATTGTATATTTAAAAAGCCACCTGGACCCTACTCTTTCAATGGCTTTGCGACAAGCAGAAATACCTGATCTTGAACCCATTGGGCCTTTAATCTGTGTATTGCTGCCCATCAGGAGATACTGCTAAGCACTGAACTGTGATGGTGCCATGTGAGATCTTATACTCATAACTCTTCCCCCATCCAACATGAGCAATATTTCCTGGAATCCAGTATCAGCATCTCATCAAGGGGGAAGAAGGAGAGTTAATGTATCCTTCCCTGCTACGACTCTGTCATTGGCCAGTGATAGTATAGGCAATGTCCCAGTGGTAAAGGCTAAAGCTACCTATTCATTATTAATTTTCTAATCACAAACCATATTCAGGAGGGTATTCAGTATTTTAAGCCACAATTAGGGTTGGGAGATACTGGCTATACACCCCCAACAAGAACCTTATTTTCTAATAGACCAAGTACCTTCAAGTGACAGAAACACTCTACTAACTAAAGTTGCATTATGGAGAGATAATGAAAGAAAAGAACACCACATCACCCAGTCCACTCTAAGCAGCAGCCCCCTCCCACCCTTCTCCTGAGTACATTCTCGCTCTGTTCTCTCTGGTTCACTTCTGGTTCTTCCACAGTCTTATTTGGCCCAAATCCTAGCACCATACATTCTTGAAGTAAGGATAAGGACTAAAATTCATCAGGTAAATGGATCATCTTTGGACCAAACTCCTTCCAGAAATATCACTAGGGACATTTTGCCACTCAGAGCTACAAAGATGGCTGGAAGTCCTTTCCAGTAGGACTGTCCATGGCAGGCCACCCAGCTAGCTGAAGACAAAGGCACATTAAAGATGTGTCCAAGATGGACATCCCAATGATACCACAGAAGAGAAGAAACAACTACCAAGGACCCACAATCTCATACCCTATGGCTTTCATGAGCACACACCCACTGGTTTCTACAGCTTTTTCTATTCCAGGGCCTGGCTAGGGGATATCTCACACTTCACTTCTCATTCATATTGGATCCAACATTGGAAATATATGTTTTTTCAAAACCTCTTGAACTAAAGCTATGCCTGGAGATTTTTTTTAATTAGTATAAATCTTGCCTTTCTGTGTGGGAGAAACTATTTTTTACTACTTTAAAGTTAGACAAAATAAACCCAACAATAAGATGTGAGGGACATCATAACCTTTTTTTTTATCATTTACCTAGACAAGAATATTTTTTGAGACCACAATTGGCTTTGTTTTTTATTCTACACTTGAGCAACACTTCATTCCATAAAACAGAATAACTGTTTCCCCTAGACAAGAATTTTTTCAAATTTTATTCTTTATTAGCATATGTTTGTGGTACTTAATGATTCAATTCCTTGCAGGGAGTTGAAATGTGTACATAACACATCCCATTTCTTCTTTCATCCCCTTCCCCTCTCCTCCCTTACCCATCTAGAATTTTGATCATCTCTTACTAGGTAAATAACATTCATGAAGTTTCAAAACCCAGGCCTCTTAATTCTTTTACTGTCAAGATAAGCACTGATTTCATGGAGTAGAGGTCCTCATTGACCAGCTTAGGCAACTTTGTCCCTCTTGACTATGCTGATACATGCTCCAGCCTTGTCAGTTAGGGGACCTAAGATCTATTTGAGACCAGATTGCAGTTAAAATCCAGACATAGCAGGAACTCCTCTCCCTATTCTGAAAAGTGACGTCTCCTTGCTTTTTGATTGATTTAATGGATCCCTTTGTTCTGCAGATAGTTTGGGGGTGTTTTGATTTGGTTTTTTATTTGTCTGTTTGGTCAATTGGTTTATTTGAGGGGCAGGTTATGGGGACTGAACCCAGGGCATTTGTACTGAACTATATCTTCGGCTCTTTTTACTTTTTTTTTATTGTGAGTCAGGGTCTAGCTAAATCACTAAGTTTCCCAGGCTAGATTCAAACCTGCAATCCTCCTGTCTCAGCCTCCCAGGATGCTAGAATTACAGGTATACACCACCATGCCCAGCTTGCAGCCAATACTTAATTAATACTTAATACTTCCTGGGCCACTGCTATTGAAGAGATGCTTTCCTTTCATGTGCCACAGAACAATATTAGTCTTATACTTTAAGATGAGTTCAACCTCAATTTGGTTGAAGCATCCAAAGGAAGAAAATTCAGTCTAGTTAATATAGGTAAGTGAATGCTAAACTTTTTTTAAAGTAAAGAAGATGGCGGCCGGGGATTTAGCTCAGTGGTTCCACCGCCTGCCTTGCAAGCGTAAGGACCCAAGTTCGATCCCTGGTACCAAAAAAAAAAAAAGAAGATGGTAACTTAAGGTTCATGTGACACTAGTGACACCTGATTTTGATTTCCTCATTGAGATCAGGGACTGAAATATTTTGGCAGGGGTAGAGGTTAGGCAGGGCATAGAAGTATTCAAATTATTTCTATTTGAAACTATTTTTCACCAAAACAAACCTCATACCCTTAACACACAATGTAATGAGGAAAGGAGGTAAGCAAACTGTCTTTCAGTTTCTCTATGGGTGTACCTGTTCATTCCTTACCTTGAACATTGTCTCACATAAATGCTGTTTGTTGTTTAGATTATATCTTATCTACATAAGAAGCTGCTCTTTTCATAGAGAAAACCTGGAGTCTAAAATCATCAAAGCAACTCATTTATTTGTGTCCTGTTATGATCTCTTGTTTTGACAATAAAAAGCCCTATTACTTTCTCAAAAGAAAATATTGGTTTCAACAGTGAGATTTGTTTCTGGCAAATCTGGAAGGCTGGTGCGGGAAGAATCTTGGGACCCATAAGCTCCTCCCTGTTTCATCTTCCTATTCCATACTGAAGCATTTTACAGCATCCATATCCATTTTGGGGGTGAATTCTTCATGTTCATTTGGGTTGCTCAGAAACAGACCGAAGTCCCATGAAGAACACATTTCTGCTCCTAAAAACACAAGTATTCCTTGCATCCCAAATACTTCTCAGAATTAGACTATCTGCATTAAAATGATTGATGTGAAATGGGACAAACTATAGCATAAAGTGCCTTTGAAAGGTGTGTCTGTTGTCTAATCTTCCCTGGATTTCTTCCCAGAAAAGATATTATTCAAATAAAATTGCTAGAACTCCATGTAAAGCCAATATAAAATGCTTGCTAAAAATAAAGGGAGTGTGGATATTATCAAGATGACCAGGAGCTTCTGGGCCCTCATTCCCCTATAGAAACAAATAAACTGCTAAATAAAATAAATATTAAAATATATAAATAAATAAAATAAAATAAACTTCTAGAAGATCTGGAAACCAAAGATATAAAGTGATCTAGCAAATATTTAATCAAGAAAAAGCAACATTCAGCCAGGCACGGTGGTGTGTCCCTGTTAGTCCAGCATTCAGGAGGCTGAGGCAGAAGGATTGCAAGTTTGAGGCTAGCCTAGGCTACATACCAAACTCCTGCCTCAAGAAAAGAAAAAAAAGGTAACATTCAAAATGACAGGAAATTTTATGAGGATTTCAACTTGCCCACACCCTCCCCTCTCCACAGCATGATGCACTGTGCTTGAGAGATGTCGTCCAATTTCCAATACCTTCTTCAAGCCATAAAGAGCCAAGTGGTAATTGTTTCCAATGCTCAGGTCTAGGCTGTGTGTGGGCTTCTTGAGAGTCTGGTACAATGTCTACAAGGTGTGATAGAAAAATAAGGTAAATGTTTAAATTTTTTAAATTTATTACAATAAAAATACATTGCCATTAATCTTCCTCAGAATATTACCCTTCACTTTGAACACATGTATCACATCATTCTTGCCACTTTCTGAACCAGGTCTAGAAGTCCCCTTTCATGAATGCTGTGCTGTTGTAGCTGCCTCAATGTCCTCAGTCAATTCAAAATGTTTACCTTTTGTGGCCATTTTGACTTTGGGAAAGAGCCAGAAATCACACAGTACCAGATCCAGCGAATAAGTCTGGCTTTCTGTTGGATGGCACCGAGAACAGCATTCACTATAACTTTTATTGTACCTCATAAAGACAGTCATGAAAGAGGACTTCTAGAACTGCTTCTGAAAGTGGCAAGAAAAAAAGGTTAAGTGTATTGGAAGGGAAAGTGAGTACTTTGAGGAAAATTAATGGCAATGTGTCTTTTACTCTAATGACTTTTAAAATTTAAACATTCATTATATATTTTTATCACACTGCCTATTTCTCCTGGCTCAGAGTTTACAAGGAAGCATACTTTGGCTCTCGGGCTGGAAGCTACAAAAGGCAGCGGCAGGTTCTGTAATGTATGAAAATTACAGGAGAATTAAACATCAGTGGACACCTGGGGCCAAAAGATTATGGTCAGAGAAATATAATAGAACATCTAAAGTCCTTAACAGAAGATCTCAGAACTTGAGCACCTATCCTGCAGGGATCTCAAGGCTCGAGGACCAAATAATTAGTAAAACCATTCAACACCAGAATGTAAAGACTAGTAGAGTTGATTATCCCTTCAATTGTCCAATTATCAGCAAAAGATCAAAATACAAGAAATGGTCTAATCACAGCAACAAAATAAATCTTCACACCCAGTCTGAAGATGCACACACATTACACTTACTAAAGATTTTAAAACAACTGTCTTAATATAATCAAAGAGATAAATGAAATAATATACACAGTATTAGGGACGATAAATGATCTAGATATTTTAAAGTACATGTGCCTAATAAAGTATAAATGTTATGTAAAAAGTTATTGTACTGTATTGTTGAAGAAATAATAACAAAAGCAAAGTGCACAGGTATGATATTTTTTAATATTTTTGAATCACAGTTTGTTTAATTCATAAATGCAAAACACCTGAGAACAGGGGGCTGACTATACTTCTGTGTTCTGTTTTGCTTTCTGAACATATTAACTCATTTGTTTTGAAATATTTAGTAGTAGGTCTGATGTATGTGTTGATATTTTCATTTATTCATAAATTGTTTTTCTGATTTTTTGTATAAGCTTCCTTTGATATCTATAGGATCTTGGTTCTAGGGCCTCCTGTGGATACCAAAATCTATGGATGCTCAAGTCCTTTATAAAAAATGATGCAGTATTTACATATAACATATGCACATTGTGTTACCTTGTCACTGTGGCCACATACCTGACATAAATTTAAAGGAGGAAACATTTATTCTGGCTCATGATTTTAGAGATTTCAGTCCATGGTCTACTGGCTCTAAGGAATAAACATCATGGCAGAGGGTGTGATGGAGCAAAGCTGCTTACCTCATGGCAGTCAAGAAGTAGAGCCAAAGAGAAAAGGCCAGAGTGGGAGGCAGGGATATACCCTTCAAAAGCATGGCCCCAGTGACCTACTTCCTCCAACTAGGTTCCACCTTCTAACAGAACATTCAGCTATGAACTCATAAATGGATTAATCCACTAATGAGGTTAGCATTCTCATGATCATGCCTTCCCACCACTGAACATGAGCCTTCTGAAGGACATTTTAGATCAAACTATAATATACATCCAGCATGTTAATGGGCACACAGTATTTAAAGATCTGATCTGTGACATCAATAAGACAAAAAGTGAGTAGATTTATAAAGGAATAGGAGTTTTATATGTGATTTAAATTAAGTTAGTAGCAATATGATACAGATTATTATAACTTTAGAATATTATATGCAATCCTCTTAATAACCACCAAGAAAATATACATAGAATATACAACACACAAAAGAAAATGTCAATAGAATGAAAAATGTGTCACTACCAAATCACAGAAAGAAAGTGAGAGAGTAAGAGAACAAACACAAGAAAGAGAAAGGAGTGCAGTAATGGAGGAAAAGGGGACAAAAAAACACTATACAGTATGCAGAAAACAAATAGCAAAATGGCAAAAGTAAGTGCTTCCCTATCGATAGTCATTTTGAAGGTAAATGAATTAAATCCCCCTATCAGAAGACATAAATTGTCACCACAGAGGGAAAAACAGGATCCAACTATACACTGTCTACAAGAAATGCACTTTAGATCCAATAGGTTGAAAATGAAAGGAAAGAAAAAGACATTTCATGAATAGTAACCAAAAGAGAACAGTGTATCTACAATAACATTTGAAAAAATATACTTTGAGTCAAAAGAGACAAAAATATTATATGACAGTAAAAGAGTCAATTCACCAGGAATAAATAGCAATTATGAACATAAATGCACCGAACCTCAGATCTCCAAAATATGAGAAGAAAATATAAACAGTATTGAAGGGAAAAATACCTCTACATTAATATTCTGAGACTTCAAAACCTCACTTTTAATAATGAATAGAACCATCAAGTGGACTTAACTTACAAATACAGATCACTTCACTCAGCAGCAAAACACACATTTTCTCACATATACATGAATAATTCTCCAGGATATATCATATATTAGACCATAAAAATTCTTAGTAAATTTTAAAAGATTGAAATCATACAAAGTATACACACACACACACACACGTGTGTGTGTGTGTGT